TCATGCAACAACTACCATCATACCCTGTTGCATGGTGCAGACCTCTCAATCGTTTTCGAACCATCAGGAGATGACCATCAGACCGCTCAGGAGGTGTCTAGCACACCCGCTCCTTCATCCAAGTCCTCTCAAGCATGAAGCTCAGAGCAGCTCTTTGAGAGTTGCGATCATCTCACGTCCAACTCAGCCCATCTCAGTCATCTCACATTGCTGGCCACAGCAACAGCAATAGTCGTCAAAGCCGCTTCTTCAACTAAAGTTCGTCTGCTCATCGACCCTGGATCAGAAATCTCATTCATCTCAGAAAAGCTCACCCAGCAGCTCAAGTTACAACGAAGGCACACAAGGCTGGACGTTTATGGTGTCGGTGGAACACGGACGTCTCAAACAAGAGGAATTGTCACGCTCAACCTTTAATTAAAGTATAGACCACTCACGGTGACAATTTCAGCTTACGTGTTAAAGACAGTTACCACCATCCTGCCGGCCATAAAGAGTCAACAGGAACCCAAATGGCCACACCTAAAGGGTTTACCTCTAGCTGATCCAGAATTTCTCGTTCCAAGGGCAGTAGATGTCATAATCGGAGCAGACTTCTACGGCCAACTCATTAGGCCTAATATCATTAGGTACTCAGCAGGAACTCCCATTGCTCAATTATCAATCTTTGGGTGGTTGGTCATAGGCCCAATTCAGGCACCGGTCACGCTTGCAAGGACAACTCATCTCGGCAGCTCTCAGGTATYAAACTCGTCCTTGCGAKAGTTGTTGACACGGTTCTRGGTCCAAGAAGAGCCTCCATCATCGGACAACTCATCGCTTACTCCTGAGGAGCAAGAGTGTGAGCTCCACTTCAAGACCACTCACTCAAGGGACTCAACAGGGCGTTTCATCGTCAGGATGCCTCTCAAATCGCCCCCAACAGTCCTGGGAGATTCTTATCAGACAGCTCATCGATCGCTCCAACGAATTCTCAGGCGACTTGACAGAGACACTCAGTACGACCGATTGTACACTCAGTTCATGCGAGAGTATGAACAATCTCAGCACATGCTCAAGCTCGATGACATCTCAATTGGTAGAAGGCCACATTACTATTTGCCTTATCATGGGGTACTTAAGCCAGACAGCTCCACCACGAAGCTCAGGGTTGTTTTCAACGGTTCAAGTGCCAGCTCCATTGGTCACTCGCTCAATGACATCATGCACGCTGGTCCTAATCTGATGCTCAACATCTTTGACTTGCTCATTTGGATACGTCAACTCAAGTATCTCTTTGCGACTGACATCACTAAGATGTACCGGCAAATCAAGATACATCCAGATGACCAGGATCTGCCACGCATCGTGTGGGTGAATGAAAAGCAGGAGGAATCTCATTTTCAGCTCACTACAGTCACGTATGGAACCAAATCAGCACCGTTCCTGGCTGTACGAACGCTCCTTCAGCTTACTGAAGATGAAGGCTCTCAGTATCCTCTTGCTGTCAAACCGATCACTCATGGGCGTTATGTTGACGACATCTTCGGAGGATCCGACACAGTAGAACAGCTCGTGGAGACTGCTCAACAACTCATACGGCTCTGCCATGCGGGCGGATTCCCGCTGGCTAAGTG